CACACCCTCACCCTCACCCTCACCCTCACCCTCACCCTCACCCTCCATGTTGTCATTGTGTTCTCATAGAGCAGTAATCTCTGACAGACCTGGAAAAACAAGCTGCTCTTAACAGCATATGAAACCAAAGGCGTAATAACTCATCATAGTTTTCCATCAAAATCATAATTTCACACTCTGCCTACAGCTTTGAAAACATCTTTTCATATGTGAAAAATTCCCCCAAATATATCCACACATCTCCTAAAGTAAGTGTGGTTATGTAATTACACTGATAAAACATCTCTCATACAACAACTGTGGCAAAACTGTGAAAATAATGGTGAGAAAGCAGATGGACTTAAAAGCATGGTCCTGAAAACAGCGTTCTGTAAAGGCTTTTGTAACACTGGTCTTTGTCAGTTTCTTATAACAGTCTAGCCGTCCTACTGTTCTGTAATTTGCCTTTGCCTTTGTATGGTTTCATATCTCTTTAGTGATGGTCAACCCTCTTGGTTGTAAGTTATAATTTAGGGGAAAAATATATACTGCTTGGTGTTCTAGCTAAAAGGTTTACCAGTATTCATAGTGATATGCTGAAGTGGCAGCAATTAACTTGGCAGTTGTCAGTTGAGAATGAAAGTAGCATGTCTGAAAACAGTCTGATGCTTTCTTAAAACCATGTAGATGACATTAAAACTATTGCATGAAAATACATCAAGGTTAATAAGCTGCTATCATACAGTAGATGCATGGTTTCAGTCCTTTGGTGATATATCTAGTCAATCATTGTTTTCACCTGCCAGGAAAGAAGAGAAACAAGTCTATTTGATAGGTGTAGAGGGTGGAGTATGAGATATCAGAGTGATTTTAAGGAAGTTTTGTACATGTTAATGTTTAATTGTGCACAAGTTTCATACGTCAACATAGGCTATACTCGGTTTTTAAAATAGGCAAAATGACTTGACACTGATAAATTTGATATATTTAACTGTGTCCCATATATAGACTTCTTTTTGCCTAGGACCAGTTTGAACAGGAACTCACCCAATTTTCAAGGTGCCTTTTTAAAAGGATCTCCTAGTCAGGTTGGTATGTACAGATAATTGGCACATAAGTGGTAGGATGTAAATTGAAAGATGCCTGGCTGCTGAGGTGCCTGTGCTCTTTGGATCAGCTAGTGCACTTCTTGTTTTTTGTAAGAGGTTATTCTTTCTAAAAATATGACTAGTTTGATGTATCTGGTAACATATAGGCCTGACTATACATTTTACATTATTTCAGTGTTTTGTAAGCTGGGTTTTTAGAAAGCACGTTTGCCATTCTGTTAAAGTACATTGCCCCTTAAAGTTTAGAGTAGTTCTTAAAAGTTTCAAGCGATAATAGAGGAGCCAGAAACTTTCTAAGCATTGTAAATTGTTTTGAATTGATATTGACCTTGTTTGGGAGAGAGTAGAGGCAGGGGGTTTTAAAGAAACAAAGAAATGCGTTGTAAAAATGTAGTTTTAGAGCAGATTAAGGATGGTGGGGAAAGTGTTGCTAATTTGTTTATTTCCCTGGAAGAAATGGGAAGTGTGATAAGCAGTTTAAGTTTTAAGGAGCTGGTCTCAATTTTAGTACTTTTTAATTATTAAAAGAAATCATTGTTTCCTTAAATTTTGTCATTGCTTTGTCACAGTTATCCAGGGTTCACATCCAACGTTCTGTGGCAACTCAATTTTATATAGTCTTTTAAAAGGTAATTGTAATGTTTTTCTGACAGTATAAACAGAAAGCAAGAATATAAGGCATAGAAAAATTGTCCTTTAAAAATATCAGTGATGTATCCTGGAATGTGAAGATGTCCCCTTATAGTTAAAAATGGAATTATTTTGATATTGTACAATTGTTAGATCTTGAATGAGTCCATGTTACAGTGTGTGTCTGTATATTTGTAGAGAAAGAAAAATGACAAATGAAATGTTCCTTTTAAAAAATCAGAATAAATTGGACACTGTCTGTGTTGCACCACTACTGTATCTTTTTGAAAGAATTAACCGTATTTTCCTATTGTGAAAGTTAATTCTGATGACATTTTCACATTCACCAGACTTTTTTTTTCTGTATTATTTGCACCCCAAATACTTAATACAAGTAGATTTTGCATGGCTTGGGCATTCAGAGATTAATAGAATGATGACTCAATTTTAATTTCTAAAGCCATGAAAAGTTGCTTTGAGACTGAACAATTCTGAATTCTTATTTATAATGATGCTCAATGTACATGTTTCTTTCCCTACTGTAAAAGAATTGATCAGTTTCTTCATTAAAGCAGCAAGAACTTATTAAATCTTGTAAATGCCATAACTCCTTTAGATTTTTGTGTATGCTGTGAATGAAATTATTTTGAGATGAAATTGTACAAAGGCATTTTAAAAGGCTATGCATGCATCGTACCTCCAAAACAGTACATATTCGGAAAGTCAAAGATTCCTGCAAAATAAATTAATAAACTAAAAGCAAACCCTACATTCTGCATCTTTTCTGTGTAGTTAGAAATAATTTCGAGTATCAGACTAGTTCTAGTTTTAATCTTCATATTTCTGGACTGAAATATACCATCTCACAAACCTAATCATTAATCACATTTGTCTTCCTTTAATAGAACATGCAGTAATGTTAGATTTTGGGTATTAAGTGTATATTACTCTGATTTGAAAATTTGGTAAAATTGTATATAAGCAGATTTTTTAATATAACATTTGGACTATGTTAGAAACTTAAACTTTTTATTTCACTAATTTACAAAAGAAAGTAATTATTTCTTTTTAAATCTTTATGTCATTTCAAAGGCAAATAATCAGAGATTCTGACATTCATCTTGCTAGGGTGTGTAGTAATCCTTCCCGACTTTTGCACAGAAATGACCACAAATGAATATATTAGATAGCATCTTTGATGATTAAGCACATTTAAGTTAAAAGTCATTTTTACTCCTTTTTTTTCTTTTTCATCATAAGATGGGTAACGTGCCGATGTTGTAACAAGGTTTGGGGATGGCACAATTTCACACATGTGCGTGAACACCCAGTCATCACACTTATACACTACAAATGGTTCTACTTTTTTTTTTTGAATTGGAGTCTCACTCCATCACCCAGGCTGGAGTGCAGTGGCATGCCCATGGCCACCCCAGTGCCATCCTGCTGGGTTCAGGCGATCCTTCCACCTCAGCCTTCTAAGTAGCCAGAGCTACAGGTGTGCACTACCATGCCCTGCTAATTTTTTGATACATTGTAGGAATGAGGTCTCACCAAGTTGCCCAGGCTGGTCTCCAACTCATGGTCTCAGGCAATCCCCTCCCCTCAGCCTCCCAAAGTGCTGGGATTACAGGCTTAAGCCACTGCACCCAGCCTACATTTTTTAATATATAAAAAATTGCAGGCATATACAAGTGCAGAAGAATTGTAGGATTCCCCTATTTACTCATTACCCAGCTTCCAAAACTATCTGTGTATAAGCATTCTTATTTCATCTATATTCTCATTGCCTCAATTTCCCCAGATTGTCTTCAAATCTTAGACATCAATTCATTTGTAAATAAACAATATAAGAACAGTATACTTATCACACCATACAAAATTAAATTTTAGCATCAAATTGTGCAGTTAAATTTCGACAATAGCTTAATTTCTTAACAAGTTTTTCCAAATTAGGATCTAAACTTAGAATGCTTGAAATTGTCTTGAATCCTTGATCAGTTGATCCATCAATCTATGTATTCCATATTCTCTTTCTGTCAGAAATCCAATCATTTGTTAACTGGAATATTTATAAGGAAACTTCATCTATTTATTTTTTTATTTTTTTTATTTTTTTTTTGAGTTGGAATCTCACTCTGTTGCCCAGACTGGAGTGCAGTGGCCGCTCCGGGCCACCGCAGCCTCGACCTGCGGGGCTCCGACGATCCTTCCGCCTCAGCCTTCCGAGTAGCCGGAATTACAGGCATGTGCTACCACGCCCGGCTGATTTTTTGATTTATTGTAGTTATCCTTCACCACACCTTACAGTTCAATAATGCATAGAAAGAATGTCAAAGATAACATTTAAAATAGTTCTGCAGTGTTTTTTTATTGCCCTGCTCCTCTTATTTCCCACATTCTGGGTTGTCCCTTTTAAGCAATTGATTTATCTTGATATAGAAAATTACTCCAAATTGTTCGGTTACCATAATAATGGTTTGCTATGGTGCTCATTTTGTAGAGGGACACCTGAGAGGACTGTATTATGTGTAATCCCGCTATCAATGTAAAGATTTCCCTTTAGGGACTAGCCAGCCCAGTTTTCCATACAGAAGACTAGGGAACTATTGTGCAGGAGATGCCCAGTGTTTGCAGTGTTTATCCCCGTCTGCTGCGTTCCTCTGAAGACTTGCTGACTT